GACGCCCGCGCACGTCCGAAGATGCTATGCGTATCTCTTGTCTCCACGCATCTATCCCCATCTAGTGGGGCACATCAGCCAGTAGGGCCAGGGCCATGCCAGTGGGGATGGGGATCGGCGCAGCGATACTCAAGGGTGCGGTGAGGGAGGTACAGCGCCAGCCGAGGCTTGCCGCCCGCGGACGTCCAGGGGTGTTGTTTGCGTGTCTTGTGTGCCGCCCTGCTGGAGGCCGCCTGCTCGGGAGCTGCCGTCCCTCGCCCGGCCCTGGACACGGCCCTTGGGCGCACGGCACGGCTGCAGGAACTGGAGGAGCTGAAGTGCGAGAATTTCCTGGCGCAGCTGGCCCTCGGCCAGGAGCAGGCGAGGGTCTTCAGCCGTGACGTGTGGTCGGCCATCGGCCAGCTGCAGTCCGCGCTGGGCCCTCCCGTCGGCGACGCTGCCAACGGCGGCTCCATCGCCGAGCGCGTGGCGGCGCTGGAGAGGGAGCTCGCGTCCACGCACGAGCTCCTGCTGGAGCGCACGGCGGAGGCGGAGAGGCGCGCCGCGGCTTCGGCGGCGAGGCTGCAGAGCGCGCTCGCGGACCTCAAGGGGAGCACAGACGAGCGCGCAGGCCGTCTGGAGAGGGAGGTTGGCGAGTCGGCCGACCGGCACGGGAGGGTGCTTCAGGACGTCCTGACAAGCATTAGCAGGCACACCAAGGATCTGGCCGACCACTGCGGCTGGCACGCCTGCATTGCCGATCGGATGGCCCTCCTGGAGCAGTCGGCAGGAGATGCGGTGGCGAAGCATCAGGCGGTGTTGGAGGAGCTCCGTTCCGTCAGCGCGTCCAGTGGCGAGCAAGGAAGGACGCTCCAGGACCACCTGACAAGCCACGAGAAGCACTCGAAGGAGTTGGCTAACCAAAGGGACAGGCACACCGCCGTCGCAGAACGCGTGGCCCTCCTGGAGCAGTGGACAGGGAATTGTGCGGTGAAGTATGATATGGTGTTGGAGGAGCTCCGTTCCGTCGGCGAGTCAACCGACAAACACAGCAGGGTGCTCAATGGGATCCTGACGAGGCACGACAGGCACGCCAAGGACCTGGTCGACCACTATGACAGGCACGCCAAGCGCGTGGCCTTCCTGCAGCAGTGGCCGGTGAAGCAGGCGCCAAAGCATGGTACGGTGTGGGATGAGCTCCGTTCCGTCGGCGACCTCCAGCGGTCTCACGCGAGGCACGTCGGCGACAGCCAAGAGCGCCTACAGTCCATCGAGGAAGAGAGGGGCACCGATAGGCACACCAAAGCGCTCGACGACCTCAGGAGGGTCCACGAGGGCTACGGCGGGCACGTCAGCGAGCTCCGCTCAGCCATGGAGGAGCGCCTGTCCTGCCTCGAGAAGCAAATCGGGGACTCGGCGGACAGAAGCGCCAGTGCGCTGGCCGACCTCTGGGCGCAGCACGAGGAGCTCCGCGCGTCCCACGGCCAGCTCTCGTCACTCCCTGAGCGCGTCGCCCGCCTCGAGGGCAGGCTCCGAAGCACTCGGTCGGCACTCCGAGCAGCACTCGAGCAGCAGGCCGCAGTCCCCGCAGTGGCCCAGGCAGCCGACGCGAGGCGCCTCGAGGAGCACCTCCCGCACTGCGAGGGCACGGCGCGGCAGGAGCTGGCCGACTCAGCACAGCGCGGCGACCGCCTCGCAGCCGCCGCGTCCCGTCAGGACGTGACGAGGCGGACGGCGCTCGTGGCCGACGAGCACCAGCGCCCCGGCAGCCCCGAGCTCAGCCTGCCGCGCACCCCGCTCGCTGACAAGCTGGGCGGCGGCCGCCTCGCGGCGCCGCCGACGACGCTCGAGCCAGCCCCGAAGAGCGGGGCCGACCTGGCCGCGCTGGCGGGGCGGCCGGGGCTGCCGTCACCCAACAGGCGCGCCGCACCCGGCCACGAGGCCCTGGCCCGAGGCGGGGCCACGGTGCACGAGCCAGTTGTCCTGGGCGAGGTGCCGTGATCGTTCCGACCGGCTGCCAGCGAGGCGCCCGAGGGCAGGCCCGGGCCTCGGCAGCGGCTCCCCGTTGGCGGCCACGGGCCGCGGCGCCTCTGCGGCAGCGGCTCGCCGCGGGAGGTGGGCGCCCGAGCTCTGCACAGCACGGGCCGCGCGCCTCCCCGATGGAGTTGGCGCAGCAGCTGTGGGGGCGCGGGAGGGGGCATGGAGCGGCGGGACAAGACCGAGCAACGCTTGCAGGCGGAGGGGAATCAGTCTCACGGACGGCGGTGGGAATAACGCTGGCCTCGGGTGAAGATGACCCCGACATCGACAATCGGTCGCGCACGGGGCTCTCCCAAACTGCAGGAGCACACCTGCGCTGGCCATCAAGAGACCTCCCCGCTTCGAGTTCGTCCAGAGTTTGTTCGGCAGCGTCCAGTAGGTCAGCGCAGTTGATCAAGGCCTCTGCAACTGCACGGCGCATGTCTGCACGCGCAAAGCTGAACCAAAGAGCGAGCAGAGCAGGAGTTTGCCTAAAAGTTGGAATGGGTTTCTGATGCCGATGGTTCCTTCACCACCGCGTTACTGCTTTGCGGGCTATTGGTCTTACCAAAGCGGTGCTGCCCGCTTTCCAGAGAGCGGCGGGCCAGTAACCCGTTTGGTATCATCGCTCGTCCTCCCCCATTCGTCTTCCAAGCGTGCAGGATTGGTGTTCAAAGCAACGTGCTCCATTTCCCTCTCCCCAGACAGTGCTTGAACAGAGGGGCTTTCTCCCCCGCACCGCAAGAGAGTTGCCTCCGCTGGCCGCCCCCGGCAGGCTCCTTCTCCGCGCCGCAAGGACTGGCCTCCGCTGGCTGCCACCCGCTTGTCCCGCGGCCTTGGTGCCTCCGCCACCCGGGATCTCCTTCGGGCGCCGCCTGCCCCAGACTAGAGGAGGAGGAGGAGGAGGAGGAGGAGGAGGAGGAGGAGGAGGAGGAGGAGGAGGAGGAGAGGAGGAGAGGAGGAGGAGGAGGAGGAGGAGGAGGAGGATGAGGAGGAGGAGGAGGAGGAGGAGGAGGAGGAGGAGGAGGAGGAGGAGGAGGAGGAGGAGGAGGAGGAGGAGGAGGAGGGGAGGAGGGGGAGGAGGAGGAGGGAGGAGGAGGAGGAGGAGGAGGAGGAGGAGGAGGAGGAGGAGGAGGAGGAGGAGGAGGAGGAGGAGGAGTCCCCTGGCCCTGGTGCCTGGCTGCCGCCGCCGGGAGTTCCCCCTGGGGCGGGCCTGTCTCGGACTGCAGCTTCGTTGCTGGGCATTTCCTCCCCCATCCCCGTCCGCGACCGTGCCCTCGCCTGGCGCATATCCAGAGATCCGACGTCGTGATGTTTTCAATGCGGGGTCTCTAGAGGTCCCGACCCCTTCCCCCCCGGACTGATTTTTCCCCCAAGGGCACAGGGCCCAGCGAGGGCCCCTAGAAGAGGCCGAAAAGGGCGAAAAGCCCCCGTCGTGGTTTTTCTCAATACGTTGGATCTCTGCGTTGCCGGGCATGTCCTCCCCCAGCCCCGTCCGCGACCGTGCCCTCGCCCGGCGCATGTGCCCCCCGCCGCCGCCGCCGCCAATCTCTGCCGCGGCCTCTCCGGGCCGCAGCCCTGGGCCCCCAGCGACTGGACTCCGCCGCTGGCCTCCGCTGGCCCCGGGCCCTCCCGCGTCGTGGAAGACCATCGACTCTCCCGCGTGCCCAGCTGGGGCAGTAGGGAGGGGGAGGAGGAGGAGGAGGAGGAGGAGGAGGAGGAGGAGGAGGAGGAGGAGGAGGAGGAGGAGGAGGAGTAGGATAAGGAGGAGGAGGAGGAGGACGAGGAGAGGGAGGTCCTCGCCTCCTGGTCCTTCTGGCCTTCCTCCCCGTCGCTCCCCCGGGCTCAGGCCCAGGGTTCTCTTGCGGTTGGTAAACCTCTCCCCGGTGCCAAGTTCGAAGAGGGCCAGCGAATTCCTGCGGTAAATAACGAGGTCGCAGAGGGCCAGCGAATTAAGAGATGAGGATGTCCCGAGCGAAACGCTTGGGACATCAGGATCGATACATTCAGCATTGCATTTGCCCGTCGCCCAATCAGGTGTCTTTGAAGCGTCGCCATGCTTTACCTTTCTGTATTCCTTTCTGGGTTCGTGGGTCGATCCTGTTCCTACTGCTGCTCCGCCTCCGGGGGCCTGCCTATGCAGAGCCTCGGGACCGTCAAGAAACGACTCGGGATGAGGAACCGGTGCTGGGGAACGCATGGGTCGAGGCATCTGCGCGTCGACGTTATTTATGAAGGCATCCTGACGTCGGGGGTCTGGGGCATCCGCTGGCCCCGGTTCCGGCTCCAGTCTTCGGTCCCGGTCCCCTGGGACAGCCGGGGGTGCATGCGCCACCGCCGCCCATGGCCAGTGTTGGCCTTGTCCCTGGGCCCAGGTGCCCTGTGTGCGTCCTCGCCGGCTCTGTCCCCGATTGCCCCCCACGCCTTCGCGCATGCCCTTGCCCCTAGTGGTCCAACAGAGTGAAAAAACGAGACGGAGGTTTTCCTTTGTCGCCCGGCCTCTAGAGGCCCTCGCCAGGCGCAGGACCGTCAAAAAAGATCCAAGATGCCGGCCCAGGGATGTGGGTCGAGACTCTTGGGGGCCACCAGCTGAAAAACATAGGCATTGGATCTCTGGGTCGCCGCCACCGAGCTCGTTCGCCGGCCCTGTGGGCCCCGAGTGCCTGGGGCTCGGCTCTGCCCCCCGCCGTCCCGAGGCGTGTTGCAGTGCGCCCGCGCTTTCGAAGGTGTGGTCGTCGAACGGTGGCATGCGCCAGGGGAGCGTTGGGCACCTGCCTGTGTTGATGTTCGCTCTCGCCCTCATCCCTCGTCCTTCCTCCCTTCTGCTTCTCCTCCCTTCCCCCGCCATCCTGCCTCATTCGGGGGCGTCCAAGAGGGGGGTGATGACTAGGGAGGATGGATACCATAGCGGGGCTCATGGCGTCTCCCCAGATACCATAGCCCCTTTGCTCATGTCAGCACGTCCCTTAGCCCCCCTGGGGCCGCGCTCGTGCCCCGAGTCATGATTTGCGAAACCCCTTTTTGGACGCCCCCCTCCTTGGACGCCCCCGACCCACCCTCCCCACCATCCTCCAAGCTTCTCGTCTTATCCCAGATTATCCTTCATCCTTCTCCATCTTCCTATCTGCTCTACCCCGCCTCCCACCCTCGTCCCATTGCCCCTTCCTCGCCTTGCCTCCCTCCTATACCCCCATCACCATCATCATCAGCAGCATCATCATCATAATCATCAGCTTCACCATCCTTATCACCTTCTTCATCATCATCATCATCATCATCATCATCATCATCATCATCATCATCATCATCATCATCTTCATCTTCATCTTCATCTTCATCTTCATCATCATCATCATCATCATCATCATCATCACATCCCTTAGCATAGATTCAAGCATGTTCAAAGGACTTCAGTCTGTCGCGCCCCTGTCTACCAGACAGTGAAGGGTTCATGGGGAGTGGCTGCCCATCGTGAAAAGACTCATCTCGTTAACCTATAGCCCACTTCATCACAGCACGCTTTCAGCACCCAGCATCGCTACAATCAAATAAAATGGAATGAACATGTGTTCCCCGACTTGTAATTGGAATTTCTTCCATGCAAATTTGCAGACAAAGATCTGAGCGAATTGCTGGCATCGTGGGAAACCTGATGGAACAATGCCCAGTCCATGACTCGCGCTGCGCACCTGAAGATTTTCGATGGGATGCGTGTCCCAGCCGCCAGAGATGTGCAGGTACGCAAGCGGTGCGCGAAGACGTTAAACAAATGTCGCGTCTTCGAATCACGACACGACGTGTTCTCCTGGGGAGAGACCAAGCTCCAGAGCACGCAGTGGGCGTTCATCGGGGATTTCGAGAGGAGAAGCTTGGGGAAGAGCGGATTGCGAACGACAATGTGCCAGGGGAGTTCAGTTCTGACTTTGAAGGCGAGCGGCTGGCTTCGCCAGGGAGGACGACATGTCGGATGAGACAGTTCGAGACCAGGTTTTAATTGTTGGTGGTTATGAAGAGAGAATTGCACCGCGCACCAGCTATATTCGGTTTGGCGACATTGCGGACGGGATGGAGCAAAGGTATATTATGCCAGTGTTCTCGCGGAGATCCGCCAAGATACGGGCCTTGAGCTTCGAAGATCTAGGTGAATTTACGCAGTTGGAGCTGATCATGGCAGTGTTGGTGGCATCGTCAAGGCGACTGACTGGGACAACATAGCCAGACAATCTCGCCGAGATTGGCCTTGATGTGCCATCGTTAGTGGATTGCGTCACACTAATCTCGTGCCTCACCTGGATGATTCGGGCTTTTTCCAGCCATGAACATACTCCTGAAACCTGTGGAGTTGAACGAGATGGTTGCGTGGAAGCTGTCGAGCGAGAAGTTTGAACCGAGAGCAATCGAATAACGCCTGCTGGTGCATCATCTGGTGGATATGTGTTATTTCAAATTACTGGACGTCCGTGCGTGGCCATCGAAAGCGGGTGCAATCTTTCAAGATTTAGCATCGCGTGTTTGCGCAGGTCGCCAGGACAAATTCTCATCACCAGCCTCATCCACCGTCTCATCCTTTTCATGCACCGCTATTCCTGCTGCTTCAGCTTCTGCTGCTGCTAGTCATCCTCCCCCCATCAGCCCTCCCTCCCCCCCATCCTCCTCCGACCCCTCCTCATCCCGTTTCATCCCTTTTTTCCTCCTCCTCCTCTTCCTCTTACATCCCCCCACTATCCCGCCCATCCTCCTCCCCCGTCCATCCTTCCACTGTTTCTCCTGCTCCTTCTCTCCCTATTGTATCACACTTTTCCTCCACCTACTCGCCCACACCCCCTCTTGTCTCCTTTCCTGCCTCCCGTTCATCCATCCCCCTCCTGCCCCCCATCTCCCCACTGCTGCTCTTATGGCACCGGCATTCTCCATCATCATCATCGTCATCATCGTCATGATTCTTTATTGCCCCCGATGACGGCGACGTCGGCCGCCACTACCGCCGCGACGATGACGGCGACGGCGACCACAAAAACGACGACCAAGACGACGACCACGACGACGATGACGCGACGACGACGGCGACGACGACGACGGCGATTGGCGACAGGCGACGGGCAACGAGCGACAACGACCACAGATATCGTAAGCCTTTCCGCTTTGGAACCTCTCTTTTGGAGGGCACAACGGCCTGGCAGGGTGGATATGGAATACGGGGTGACATTTGGCCAGTTTGCGGCGTATCGCGGCCCCTGAATACGGCAAGCGGTTGTGCGTTGCTCTACAACTAACGTGACTCGATGCACGTCGCGATGCCGCTTCGCACGCCTCCTGGCATTGGAACGCTTTTCTCAAACGGTACGACGGTTCGCGGTTCATACATGCAACGGATCCGGTAGGCAGGGTGATATTGATATTGATCTGTCTACAAAACAGCACTGACCTGGAATCAAGTTAGTAATTGGAAGATTGCGTTGAGTTCGTAATTCGAATATTGCATTGGGTTGACAAACGTCACCA